CTGTAAGGACATTTCATTCTTAACCTCTTTACGCATTATGTTATTCACTGGGCTTTAGCTCACTATTTATATATATATGTAGGTGCTCAGCCACCAGATCGGAGCTAGGAGCGCGGGTTAGACTCCAGTTTTGTCAAGCCAACCACCGTGCCTCACTGCGAGGTTCCGAGTTCGCCATGCTTTGGCTTGGGGTGTTTTTTCCCCCGCTGGTCCCTGTTACTGTTTTGTATTACTGTATAGACTGTTGTTCACTGAACTGTACTGTTACCAAGGAATTAGGTCCCTATACTGTGTGTCTGTAAATGCTTGTGTAGCCTGCACTGTTGTGATTATATGAATGCATAAGAAAATCTTTTTGGCATACAGACTGTCACAGCTCAATGGATATTATTTATTTACTGTATTGGCTTCCGCCAGGCCCTGTACTCTGTTTTACTGTACTACTGTTCTGTAGGCCTTCGGTAATCTCGGATTACTGGCCGGTTACGGTGTTAAACCCATAGGGCCGGGTTTGGGTCGTGACAGTTCTAAGTAAATCTCAACAAGAAGAAACTGCTCTCATTGAATTAATTAGTAAATTAGAAAATTCTGAATTAAATAGACAATATACTGACAAGTTAAAATCCTTATTGATTAATAAAGATAAGAAACTTAAACATGATAAACCAATCATTAGTTTAACTAAAACTCTAGACTGATTTAAAAAAGAAAAACATAAAGAAATCACCTTAAAAGATTTACAAAATGAAATTCATCATATTAAACTAACTATTCAAGAATTGAAAGCTAAAGACAAGACCCTAGAAGAAGACATTACTCTACTCAAAAACAACAAAAGTCTTAATGATTTCCAACAATCCAATAAATCATCCTCTAAATCGGAATCTGAATCTAGTTCTAAAACTAATCCAAACAACGTCCTCTTTGATAATCGAACTGCTCCACATAATAGTGATCACGATAGTAATCACCTTAATCTAATTAATCAAATTAATATTCAGAAATGGCATTCGAAAGTCAAATTAGTTATTAATAATTTTGAAACCGAAGTCATCGCATTAATTGATACTGGCGTTGATTTAAATTGTATTCAAGAAGGATTAATTCCTACCAAATATTATCATAAGTCTATTGAACAATTAAGTTTTGCTAATGGAAGTCAAATGCATATCAAATATAAATTACCAAAGGTACATATTTGTCAAAATAATGTTTGTTTCAAAACATCTTTTGTGTTAGTTCGAAATTTAACTGATAAAGTCATTTTAGGTACACCATTTATCTTTTTATTATGTCCTTTTACTACTACTTCTAAAGGAATAACTACACACGCTTTTGGTCACACTGTCACTTTTAAATTTCTATCTCCACCAGAGGCTAAATAATTAAATCAATTAAAAGAATGTTCAATTTCTCAATTTATTAATCAATTAACCAATCAACTCAAATTTCTCAAAGAAGAAGTAAATTACAAACAAATGGAAACCCAATTAACTAATCTAATTCTTATATCCAAAATTGAAGGATTTAGAAATCAATTAACAAATACTATTTGTTCCACTTTACCTAGTGCTTTTTGGCATAGGAAAAAAAATGTAGTAACACTTCTTTATATTAAAACTTTTAATGAAAAACAAATTCCTACTAAGTCTTGACATATTCAAATGAATCATGAATTAATGGAACTGTGCAAAAAAGAAATTAATGAATTATTAAAAAATAATATCATTAGTAAAAGTAAGTCGCCTTGGTCTTGCCCTGCTTTTTATGTTAATAAAAATGCTGAACTTGAACGAGGTGTTCCTCGATTAGTCATTAATTATAAACCATTAAATTTAATAAAACTTGAACAAAGTTTTAGAATGGATCCGGTATCCAATTCCTAATAAAAAAAAATTAATTAAAAGACTTAGTCAAGCTATCATTTTTAGTAAATTATATCTAAAAAGTGGATTCTTGCAAATACAAATTCATCATGGTGATCGTTACAAAACTGCCTTTACTACCCATTTTGGTCACTACGAATAGAATGCTATGCCCTTTGGATTAAAAAAATGCTCCTAGCGAATTTCAAAATATTATGAATGAAATTTTTAATCCCTTTAGCCATTTTTCTATCGTCTACATAGATGATATCGTCATTTTCTCTAAGTCACTTAATGAACATTGGAAACATCTTAACTCTTTTTTCCATATTATCAAATAGAATGGTCTAGTCATTTCTGATCCTAAGATTAAGCTTTTCCAAACTAAAGTTCGATTCCTAGGATATGATATCCACCAAAGTACTATTCTTCCTATTAGTCGATCTATTGAGTTTGCTTCTAAGTTCTCTGACGAAATCTTAGACAAAACCCAATTACAAAAGGTTTTAGGTTCCTTAAATTACATTGCTGAATTTTATAAAGACCTTAGGAAAACTTGTCAACCCCTTTTTGATTGGTTGAAAAATAATCCTTCATCTTGGTCTTCTACTCATATTGTTATTGTGTAACAAGTCAAAAAATATGTCAAGACTCTGCCTTGTCTTGGTATTCTTACTGAAAATTCTTTCAAAATTATTCAAACTGATATTTCCGATGTTGGTTATGGTGGTATTCTCCTTTAGAAAATCACTCCTCAGTCATCTGAACAAATTGTTTGTTTCCATTCTGGTGTCTGGAATAAAGCACAAAAAAATTATAGTACTATTAAAAAAGAAATTTTATTCATTGTTTTATGTATTAGTAAATTTGAAGATGATATTCTCAATCTAAAATTTTTACTACGTGTTGATTGTAAAAGTGCTAAATATGTTTTAGAAAAAGATGTTCAAAATATTGTTAGTAAACATATTTTTGTCCGCTTGCAATCTATTTTAAGTATTTTTAATTTTGATATTGAATATATACATGGTAATGAAAATTCTTTTCCTGATTTCCTTATCCGAGAATTTTTACAGGGGGGATAGGAATGGCAACTCCTTTTATTTCCTACCATAAATTGCAAGTAACCCATTATAGAAACCTTGTTTACCAAACTGCTTACCGTATTGCTTGTTTTAAGACAGCTCGCAAAACTTTTCGCCGTGCACAATTCATACAATTTCATCAAATTACCAGTCATCGCAATTTATTTGTTCATTATACTAATTGCCTTCATTACCATTTGAACGAATTAGATCTCCTCAGTGGATGCTGAATTTTGTTCATTCTTTTACAGATGTGTAGTCAAAAATCCCAAAAACCTCCCAGCAAGGCCATTTTCCCCTCTAGTCAGCCTATTGCTCTTCCTCCTGTTGACTTAGTCAATCGTTACCAAGTTCTTGGTAATATCCCTAAATCCAGTTATACTTCTGCAATTGCTACAGACCCATTTGCTTCATCTTCTTAGTCACTTACTCATTTTCCTCCTAACCCAGTCAGAACAGCCAGAACTGACTATATTAAAACCCAGTCTATTAATTTATTCTTCAAGGAACCGAGTCACAAGAATATTCATAATGTTCTTGACTTAGTTAAATTTTGTTTCCCTCATGAATGGCATTTTGTTCCCCTCCATCTAGAAAAGTCAATTACTTTCTACAAAGACCTCATTTTCCATCATCAGGCAATAGTTATTAAACCTATTTATGATCGAACCTACACCAGTAAAATCATTTACCATTCCTTATATATTCACAATATTGTCTCTTTTGATGAACGGGGGCTCATTTTTCTACTCCGTGATTTACCTAGTCATACCATCAAATATAGTTATTATGACTATATGGATGCTTGGTTCAAAATCCTCTTGCATCAAAATGAGTCGTTCACTCACTCTTGATTTCTCCAATTTGATCATAAATTCAAGTCAACGATTCCTACATGGTTCCTCAGGTGGTGGTCTCAACATGATGCCATTTCTGAGATTATCCCATCTACATTGATGGAACAAATTCACTATTTCTTTTCTGTCTATAAACTTAGTCCGCATCAAAGTGAATTTCCTTTATTACTCATTTTTATGTCCAAATACAAAGTTCCTTGGATTTCCAAATGGCAATATGCTATTTCTGAAAATATAGTCACCAGACTTCATTTTGTCAAATGGTGGAATACATTTAAATCTCATCGGATTATTGAACAAGTCCAAGAAGAATTTTCAGTCAATTCTCATGCTCTAACTCCAACCATGGTTAAAGCTCAGCAAAACCCAACTGCTTCAGTCACACAAGGCAACTCAATTCCACCGGTCCGACTTGGAAGCCCAACAACTAGCTTTTCCAAGCCCAAGTCATCCAAATCCAAATCAGCTCAATCAAAGTCCAAAACTAAGCCCAAGTCATCCAGTGATGAATTAATTCAGATAGCCAAGCTATTGATGGCCCAGGCCAAGTCACAGATTGAAGATGAAACCTCTGAAGAATCTAGTTCCTCCGAGGCTTCAACCAATAATGATCCTTATCGGCCTCAGTTTCAAGGTGCCCAGGACTTATATGTTTAACAGTCAGTCGTAGGATTCTATATATATGAAGAACAGCTTCACTCACTATTCTTTATTATAAATATTTTAAAATTATTTTATTTTATGGTTGTGTTGGGCAATCATGGGCAGTGGTGGTGATGGGAATCTTGAACAAAGGGTTTTTTTTCGTCTTTTTGTAGGTAAAAGTAAGGGTAATATGGTCATTTTCTATAGGATACTAACATCGTTTATACAAAATAGACAGAATGGGGGAATCTTGACATTGTTAAGTAAAATATGAGAGATTACTGTAATTATTCAAACTACAGGGGAGGTTCCTGTAGTTGTCAAAAACTTCAGGGAAGGTAAATATAATTTGCCCTTTTACATAATATATATGTTTCATATATATAAATACTCATCTGTAATAAATTTCATATTTTAAATTTCTCTAACACTTACTTTTCTTTTAATATTTTATTTAAAATTAAAAAATACAAAAAAGATTTGAAAATCAATTTATAAATTTTAAAATTTAATATTTAAACCACAATTAACGATAAAACCGTGTGAATTAAATTGGACAGCATTTTCCGCGCCCCTACCACCAGCAACCCAAAAAAATACCTAACGACGTTAGCAAGCCAATCCGTCGCTCGGTTTGTAGATCTGAAAATACTCGCAACACAACACAACACAGTTGAACTCCGCTGTTCTTGAATTCTCCGCCTCAGTCGCCTACTCTCTCTCTGCATTCTGTATAACGAAGTTCGTTTCCACGATCGACAATGGTAGAGATGAAGTTTCTAGGGATTGATTTTGGCTGTGCCTTCGGATCTCTGAGTGACGGCAAGTTTCCCGACAAAGATTGTCTTCTTCCACTCATCTCCAAGCTTCTTGGCTACTGCATCGTCGCCGCTTCCACCACCGTCAAAGTCCCTCAGGTATATTCCTTCCCCTTTCTCCAATTTCCAATTCCATCCAAGCTGGAATTTTTCTGCTTTTTTATTGCATCTTTTCTCTATGTTGAAAATTCTTGAGTTTTGAATTTTTCTTTTCTTTTTTTTTAATTTTTTTTTTTTATGGTTCTAGAAACCAGAAAAATATTGGGTTTGGACCCATTTCACTCTTAGGGTTGTTGTGTTGGTAATGGCTCTTTTCTTTACAAGCAAATGTGAAATAACGTAGCATTGATGGAATTGTGCCTAGAGGGAAGACTGTGCCAATTATGATAAATTAACAAGAGATTAATTGATTTCAAGTTTACTCTAAACACGATTAAATAATTTATCAATCCATCAATGTTGTCAAGTAGAAAGCAGTTAACTATGAGATGATGGATTTAACCCTATGGGAAAATCTATACGGGATGATAATCACGATCCCAACACCAACAATCAGTCCACTATTGAATCAACGGGTTACAAAGATACAATTGAAGTAATTGCAACTTCTTAACCAAATACCACAAGCTTGATCTCTGCTTCAAAGCATCCTTGATGCATCAATCTCTCTGTAGACCCAATAGCAACCATGAAACTCTAAGCTCCAATCTTCATCTTCAATGCCCATGGTGTTTTAGGGATATGAAGAATTGTGAATGTTTAAGATGTGTATCTAGGTGAATTGAATGGTCTCAAACCATGAATTAAAGCTCTAGATTGAAGATAGAGTGAGATTCATCAATGGAGTCTTGTGAAGCAACTAGAGAGAGAGAGAGAGAGAGAGAGAGAATGAATTTAAGGCTTCAATAACTGTGACTCACATGCTAAGAATGATGAAATATGAACTTTTAAACAGTTCAGGGGCAATAATGATGATAAACAGGCCTTAGTATGCACCAACAGCTCTAAGCAAGGGGGCCTTACAAGCAATCAAGCTCTTTACCACTAAACAAGAGGAGCGGGCCTCATAGGAAAGCAGGTGCTCAAGCACTAAGCGAGTGGGCCTTGCAGGAGATTTGATACTAGAGGGGCCTTACAGAAATAGTATTATGTGCCCCTCTAATGCTCTGGTGGCTCTGGCGCTCTAGTATTTTTCTTGATTTTGATCCCAACCTTGGAATAAAGTTTTGGAAAACGGTTCTGTTTGAAATTGCAGAGGAATTTAGCAACTGCGTTCTTTAGTCTATAGAAAGTAAATGTATTCATATTCTTACACTTTATATTTGTTCTCTAAGATAAAACATTAAACAAGAAAGAAAGAAAGAATCAGTGCAGTTTGACCTTCCCCAATAGATAGATAGAGACAACATTAATTTCTCCTTCTTAGTCCACCAGTCATGAATGTTACTGCTTTGAGTTCTTTCCTTGAAGGTTAAAACTTCTAGTTCAAATGCCTCATTTTCAGACATACTTGGATGAAATAAATAAATAATAAATAAAAAATGGTATTGATTGGTGTAATGAGATACTGGAAAAGGAAAATATGTCTTTAATTTATGAAAATGATGGCCACATGTGCAAGTTCATAAGTTTTAATTTCCATATTATATCTTTGCTATTAGTCAGTATTTCACAGGAACTTGATTCTTGCACCTAGGGCATGGTAAAGGATGTTTGTTTGAAATTTTGATTTGTGTCTTCTATAGTATCAGTCATTTGATGCTTCTGTTGTTCATTTGCAGATACTAAAAATTTTGAAACACCAAAGTGTCAGAGGGCTTAGTGTTATGGCCTTTGAGCTTGAAGTAGTTGGTTATACCATTGCTTTGGCATATTGTCTTCACAAAGGGCTCCCGTTCTCAGCTTATGGGGAGTTGGCATTTCTTTTGATCCAAGGTACATTCTATATCACCAAGTCATATTAACTTTCAGGTACTGATATATGAGTATCATAGTGCATGTCTCAGATTTATGAATTCGATGGTAATACTCATTTCATGTGGTTAATAACTTCCTAGAGGAATTTCTTTCTCTTTTTTTCATTTTTTTTTTTAATCCTGAAACCTATGGAGGAATACAAGTTTGAGATTCTAGTTCTTTGCACCTCCCTAAGCTGAGGTTTGGAAGTGGTCTTTTGTGCTCATATTGTACAGGGTGGTGAGGTGATTTATCAGAAAAGAAAAAGAAATAAATATTGGGATGGGGTGGTTATGGATCAGTTGATGAAGATAAATTACGATAAGCTACTTCACTGGACCTCAATGTTGGGCATTGAAGTTGAGCACTTAAATTCAGATTACCCAAATTGGATCTTCTTTATTCAAATTGCACATATTAAGCATACAAATATGTTAATAAATGTATTGTTTTATATATATATATATATATAAATAAACAAAACCTAGTTGTTTGTCCAAACTGGTGAACTTTGATTATACTTATTTCAGGTCATCTGGGTTGGCAGGTCAATTTAAAGTGTTAAAAATATTGCCACCCAAATCCTATCACTTTCTGCTGTGTTATTGAACTATAATTCTTCACATGAGAGTTGCAAAGGATCTAATACTCTTCCTTATTTTTTCCTTGTACATTACAGCATTAATTTTGGTTGCAATTATCTACCATTATTCTCAACCTTTGGGAACCAAGACATGGATCAAGTCATTGCTGTATCCTACTTACTCTCTGAAGTTTATCACTGTTCTTATGCAGTGATAACTGTCTTTTGTTTATTGCAAGCTTTCTTTCTGCGGGACTAATAAATGTTGTCTGTATTCTTAACTAATGTCATACCAGATATTGTGCTGTGGCACCCACTATATTAGCTGGTCAAATTGATCCCATTCTCTTTGAAGCTCTATATGTGAGTGGAAACATTTGCTAACCAGACTGCAATTAAATTTATGCTTGGTTGTCAGCATTCATTTCGTTTTCACAACTTCTCGCTAATTTTATGGTTTATTTATTTATTTATTCCCAACCCCCCCCCTCTTGTGAAGATTTAATCGGTTTATTTTTTTCCAGTAAAATTATAATTTCGAGCATGACTAACATGTTTCTTGGATCAAAATAATTGTTTCAGGCATCTCAGCATGCAATTTTTTTCTTCGCCAGGGTCCCACAAATTTGGGAGAACTACAAAGTAAGTTGATACTGATTTTCCTTCTTATCTTTCTTTATTTTGGTGGGAGAGAAAATAATAGAGGCCTCAAATGGCTTAAACTTACTGCAAACCTTAAAGTTAAACTCCCTCAAATTGTAAAGTTTGTTTGTTTCCGTTATGTATGAAAAGGTGTTTTTCATCTTTTGAAAACTAAACAGGGCTACTTGCCTATTCTATTAAGCAAACATCAATCTCCTTCCACCGTCTTGCCGGCTGAATGCATTTTGAATAATGGATGGATTGGCACTCTGGCCACTAGAATTTCAATAAATTCTTAGATCTTTCTGTGGATGTACCATAACTTTGTAAAAGATCAATGCTCAGGATGTGGTTTATTAATGTTATCTGGTACTTCATTTTGGATACTACGGGATGGTAATGTTGAGTTCTCACTTTTTGGTTTATATCTGTACTTAGCTGTGTATTCATTTTTACCAGCAATATGGTTATTATTTTGTATTGCTTCAAATTATTCATGCATTATACTTAATTATGTTCTTGTATTAATAATAATTTATTATTCTTTGGCAGAACAAAAGTACAGGGGAGCTCAGCTTTTTAACTTCTTTAATGAATTTTGCTGGTTCAATGGGTGAGTTTACATTGTTTTGCATCAGTATAAGCGAATTGATATTTAGGGCAAAGTAATGAATTGCTCATGTTGTTCTCTGCAGTGAGAGTTTTTACCAGCATACAGGAAAAAGCTCCAACAAGTGGTATCCTTATCTCTTGTTTATGGTGAATTTTGATATTATCATAATCATTAATGTCATGTTGAGTATTGCCGTCTTATATGTGGAATTTTGTGAACCTGCCCGCTTGATTTCCAAGTGGACGCTTATTATTCTGATCCCAAAACTTAGTTGTTGGACAAGGTCATAAAGTTCTTGCAAATTGCTAATCTTTTGGAAATTATCTCATGTTCAATTTATCTAACTTAATATAAACCCAAGAAGCAATGAAGTTTCCATAAAGAATTAGGTTGATAGCCTTCTCAGCCTGTTGGCTAAGATTAGCATCTGTTATTATCAATTTAACATAGAGAATTAGCATCCCCCCCACCATACCTTTCCTTTCTCAAAGTTTTTCTTCATTTTTCATTTCTTTTCACTATTTTAGAAATCTCACTTTCTTGAAGGCCATTCCCTAGTGCTCATCCTCAATAATCGAGGGTACTAAATTGGAGAGGTGAGGTACAGCATAATCTTTGGCATAATTTGCTCAAAGTGACCTCAAACTCAAACCTCTGATGTCACACTCGGCAATCCAAGTTTTTATCGTTGCAGCAAGAATCGGGCTCTTATGTTAATCTCTGTTTGCTTTTATTTTCATGTAACCATTTGTTCTCCTTGATTTGTTGGAAGTTGTTTTGGGCTCTGTAATTGGTATTGTAACGAATGGCACCATCTTGAGTCAGATAATCTTATACCAGAAGCCACAGCCGAAGAAAGACAAGAAAAACGAGTAGGAAATGAGGTTGGACGTTTGGACCTCCAGAGCTTTGCTTCTCAAAGGTTCAAGGCATGCTCCAAGTGGACCCAATTCCTCTGGTTATCAATGCTTGAGGGAACGGCGGCATTGTTCTTCTGTATGATGACATTTCAAGATAAACTAAAGCATTTTATGTTGAATGAAAATGTATGTTACCTCTCCAGTTAAAACTCCTTGTTTATGCATCACTGAAAATTTTCAAAGGTAGCTTTGAATGTTGCATTGTTTATATAGAAATCATGAGAAGATAGTGTTTACAGTAATATCTTGTAGTTTATAATCTTATAAATCTTTACCGTCAGGTTCTGATTTGATGGGTTGGCTCTGTTATAGTTATTGCAGTCAAAAGAGCCTTCATTGATCGATGCTTGCATATTTGCCCCATTTGAGTGCTAAAATGCATCTGGTGCTTGCTATTGACAATAGTCTTGCCTAGTTGATTTTCTCAGGAAGCATATGATTCTCACCTTCCATGAATAGCCAGGATATTGAGGAATATCTAGAAAGACATTTCAAGAATCAGATTCGAAATCATATATTCTCACGTTCTGTGAATAGCTGGGATATTGAAAAATATCCAAAAAAGGCATTTTGGGAACCAATTTGATTCCGTCTCTGTTCGTTCCATTTGAAGACAGGAAGGATCCCAAAGAATTAATTTTGCTCTATGTTGTTGAATCTTTCATTACTAATGGAATCTACAAATTTCAATGGAAACTTGATACTTACTCCCGGAGTATCACGTATTTATGTTCATTTACTAATAATCATTTATTATGTTTCTTTATGTTTTTCAATCATCTAACATAAAATTATAATACTTCATCCTCTCTACCAATTATAATATCATAAAACATCATGTAATCGTGTTTCTGAAGTACCTAATAATTACCCCTATTTTTGATGTTGATTAGCTACATTTACAGTTTTTTCCTCTCCATATTTTGGTAGAGCTTCCAAATCAAAATTTGCACCCGATCGTTTAATTTTGGAGCTAACATTATGTTTTAAACAGTTTACACAAGTGCTACATTAGGGTCATTTAAACCCTAGTGATAACCCATGCGATACACGGAAAAAGACAATATATATTTTGTGTGATAAATAAATTATTTTAATCTTGAATTATGTATTAATTATGGCAAGCCATGATATTAGGCTATCGTGATAGATGTTAACAATAATTAACTCAAAATTTTACAATAAAATTTGATATACATAAAAATTTGTTAATTATGAAGATTGTTGGGGGTAATAGTATTACAATCACTTGATATCATAAATAATTTGTATCAAACTATAGCGTCATGCGAAACAAAAAAAGGCATTGAAAGAGATAAACTTTATAAACTCAAAAAAAAATGATTATAAATTTACTTAGACTTTTAAATCAATGGTGTGTATTAAACCTTATTATTGTGGAATCAAATTATGAATAGATCTCAACCTTTAATTATAATTTCTAAGTAGTTTTTTGAATTTTTTTAATATGAGTTCGTTACCTTGCTCATAGAAAAAAAAAACTTCTCAAACAAATGAATAAACCATCAATTGATCTTGTTAGCAACTCGCTGTTTTTGATCTCCTCTATCAATGACACATGCATATCATATGAGTATAATTCCTTCTCCGTAATCATTTTTTTCATTGCTTGAATAATACTTGCATAGTTCTTACAATATTTAAGGAGGAAAAAATCAAAATAAGAACTTAGTAGGATTATAAAAATTATAGTTTTAATCCATTTTATTTATAATAAAAAAAAATGATGACAAACGATTTGAATTGTATTTGAAAAAATATAATAAATGATAGCTTTAATCATTATATACTAACAAATAAATTAGGCTACTCAACAAAACAATGGTCGAATGCAACTAAAGTCATGGATATTAAATTAAATCATATAAATTCTAAATTGAAAGTATAATCTAGAAAACCAACTAATAATAATAAAGAGAGATCGATAAACATGTAATACCTCCCTACTATCTTTGTGTTCTATTCATTAATTTCATATGTCGAATGAAAGTGTTACTCGTATGGATCCTTCAATAAAATAAGTATCAAGAAAACAAATTTGTTAATAAATTAATTCTAAACTTCATTATTAGAAAAACAAAATTTTCAAAGAGAGACTAAATTGAGATGGGATTGAAGAAATACTACAACCAATAAAAAAAAATAAAAATAAATACACACATGGCAATGATCCAATGCAAACTATTTCAACAATTAAAAGAAATAACATCAAATTATTACCTTGAATAAATATAGTGACGAAAATTTAATTTGTAAGATTTTTGTACTGCCTCCTCTCATGTAGTTTTTGTCATCCTATTATTAATACTCTTCTTATTCTGAGCCAACATAGTCTTCCTATTCATCTGTATGAATTCATAACAAATTCTTAAATAATTTTCAGACAATATGGAATTACATTCTAATAATGTAATTGCTTTGCAACCAAAAGTATGCAATCAACAACAAAAATAGAGATAATCTAATCAAATCTACGTACATTTTATTCAAAACAAAAAATGATTTGAACATAAAGGCACATATGAATAAAATCCTAAATCATTTAAAAATATGGACATTAAAGGTGCTCTTGTGCGTTTTGTGCTTTCATCTTAAGAAATTAAACTATGGGAAGTTAAAGATAAAGGAGAAAAAAAATCAAACAAAAGGGTTAAGTATTGATTGGAAAAAGAAAAAATATTTTATCTTTATCACTTAATCACTAATAACGAATAATAAAATTATGAGCAGAAGATTAAGAATTTAAAAGAAGATACGAAATTATAGATAAGAACAAATCATATCCTTATTTAAATTTCATTATTTCAAATTTTGTAATTTTTAATGTATGAAATAGAGGGAGAGAAAAAAATAGGAGTAAATCCAAATAAAGATTTAGATAATGCTTTTGGTAGATATAGATTAACAAATCATATTCTTATTTATATCTAAATTTCATTATTTCATTTTTTAAATATTTATTTGAATTTTATTAGACTAAAAAATTAGAAATTAGGGAAATGAGGTAGGGAGTCTTCAGAAACTGACATGCAGGAGAGAGAACATTGAGATATTAGTATTGAGGTTTTGAAGAATTTTAAGAATACATTACATTTGCTTATATATATAGTATAGATAATAAATTTTAAATAATTTTAACTACTAATTTTTCAGTTTTAACTACTAATTTTCAGTATTTAATTTGCATTTTTATCAAACACCAGCTAAATTTGAATAATATCTTAAGTCTAATTAATGCATTGATTTAATCAACCCATAATTATTGTTTACGCCAATACATTGATTCTATATGATCATTGTTAATTGGGTAAATTGGGAAAAAATATTGGGTATTTGTTAATTGGGAAAAAATACAATTTGTCTTACACTTTAAAATTATATATAAGAAAATTCTCAATTAGTGTGATAAATTTTTCATCGTGTCTAAATTGAACAGTGGTATCTAGACTATAGGTTCTACCACAGATCTCATTTTGAGACCCTCTCTCTCTCCATCACTAGGAACTATGGGGTTAGAGATTCCGACTGAAGGGAGGGCAGATCCCTCACTCGAGACAGCACATACCGTCCCTCACGCCATTCTCTGACGTCACGATACTCTTTCTCCACCTGTTCCAGAGACCTGAGGGATGTATTGGAGCAGAGGGCGCGCCGTCGAGAGGCTCAGAGAGTGCCGGCGTGGCAGAGATTGAGCGCCCCAGTTCATTGTAACGAAGAAGTGGCGATGCCAGCGCCCAGAGTGATGGCCCATGCGTCAGTGGACAAAGAGCTGGCGAGACTTACAGCCACGCCGTTGTCTCCGGAGATCGAGAGTACACTACTCCCTGCCGGATTCCACCAGCCTAAGTTCACCTTGTACGACGGCAAAAATGGATCCGTACATGCACGTGAGTCATTACCGGCAAGTAATGGCTGGCCACCGGTGCAATGACGCCTTGATGTGCCTCATATTCCCAGCAAGCTTGGGAGAACTGGGCCTGAAGTGGTTCGAAAGGCTTCCAGAAGGGAGTATAGAGAGGTAGCAGCAACTAGCGGAAGCCTTCGTCACCAGATTCAAAACCAACACTCGAACGCTGAAAGAGGTCAATCATCTTCTGGGCGTCAAGATGGAGTCAGGGAGATCATTGAAGGCATACAACGCGAAGTACTGGGAAACCTACAATGAAATCCTCGACTGCCCTACCAATCTGGCGATCACTCAATACAAGCGGGGTCTCCCAGTCGGGCATAGACTACGGGATTCGCTCACAATGCACCAACCCACAACCATGGAGTCCTTGATGCAGCGGATCAACGAGCACATTCATGTAGAGGATGATGCCGCCTCCGCGATTGTAATCCGGTCGCAGCGGACAGAAGGGTAGCAGGGAAAGTTCACTCGGTTGGGCAGGAGGATAACCGCCCAAGCGACCGGCCAAGAGATCAACGACATGGCCCAAACCGCGATGACAGAAACAAGGGTCGCAGAAACGACCAAGCTGACGGTCCCCGTGATGCAGCGGAGGATGCTAAGAGAAAATTGAAGGCGCGGACTGGAATCACCACGGTCTTTAAAATCCCTATCTACCGCATCTTGAGTGAGATCAGAGACGAGCCTTTTGTTCGCTAGCTGGCCAAGTTGGGGAATGCACAAAGAGGCTTCAACTCAAGGTATCGTTACACCTTCCATGAGGAACGAGGACACCGAACGAAGGACTGCTTGCCGCTCAAACAACATTTGGAAGAGCTAGTGGCCGCGGGACATCTTGACCAATACATAGATGGGGGTATGAAAGTCGCGCCATTGGGGCAAACCGAGCCAAACGGCCTAGCCGCCCTAGAGGCAGCACCCCAAGGCGTAATCAACGTCATCCATGGCATCGTTGAACCAGCAAGGGTCTACAAGCTCAGAGGGATGATTAAGAAAGCCGAGCACATGAGGGAAGTGCTCTCCGTTCGGCCCGCTGTGAAGAAAGGGAAGACCGAGGAGAAGGACATTCTTACCTTTTCGAGCAGGGACTTGGAGCGGATCCAGATGCCCCACAATGACGCCCTAGTGGTAACTCTTCACGTCAAAGACTTTGACATCAAGAGGATCTTGATCGACCAGGGAAGTTCGGTCGAAATTATGTACTATGACCCGTTCAAACAAATGAAGTTGGAGGACAAGGACTTGGCCCCTGCGACGTTCCCTTTGGTTGGCTTCAACTCTCAGCCAGAGTGGCCGGTAGGAAAGATCATACTGCCGGTCAAAGCGGGTTCAGTAACAAAGCAAGTAGAGTTCTGGGTGCTCAAAGTCCCGACCACCTATAACTTAATTTTAGGCAGGGGCTGGTTGCACGCCATGCAAGCAGTAACGTCAACTTACCATCAGGCCTTGCGTTTCCCAGCGCCAAACGGACAAATGGAGGAAGTTTGGGGAGACCAGGTGATGGCGAAACAATGCTTCGTTGCGATAAATGGCAGCCGAGCAGCTAAAGGATCTGTCCAAATGATTGAGGGACCCGAGGGAAAGGTGGTCCTTGACGACGTAGGAAGAAAGGCTGAGGAAAAATCGGTCGAGGATTTGGTGGAAGTGCGCGTCGACGAGAACGACCCAACTAAGTTCTTCCTCTTGGGATCATCTTTGGCAAGCGCCGAGCGGTTGGATTATGTCAACTTCTTGGTCTCCAACATGGAGGCTTTTGCATGGACGCCTTACGATATGCCTGGCATCGACCCTAACTTCATTTGCCATCAGTTGAACGTCTTCCCAAACGCGCGGCCGGTCATTCAGAGGACTCACCGCTCGGCTCTGCACCATGCCGAGGTAGTGGCAGAGGAGGTCAAAAATCTGTTGGAAGCGGGAGCGATAGAAGAAGTGCAATACCCTCGTTGGATATCCAACATGGTGGTCGTCCCGAAAAAGAATGGCAAGTGGCGAGTCTGCGTTGACTACAAGACAGTTAACCGTGCATGCCCAAAGGATAGTTTCCCCCTCCCTCGAATTGACCAGCTGGTGGACTTGACCGCTAGCCATCAGAGGTTTAGCTTCCTCGATGCATATCGCAGCTACCACCAGATAACCATGTATGAACCAGGCCGAGAGATCACGTCGTTCATTACTTCTAGAGGCCTATATTGTTATAAAGTCATGCCGTTCGGACTGAAGAACGCCAGGGTGACTTTTCAGAGGATGGTGACAAAGATGTTCACTCCTCTTTTGGACCGAACAATGGAGGCCTACATCGACGATATGGTGGTAAAGAGTAAGGAGAAGTCTCAATACCTCGCCGATCTAGCAGAAATGTTTGCCATACTTAAGCGCCACAAACTTCGTTTGAATGCCTCCAAGTGCGCCTTCGGCGTCGGCATTGGGAAGTTTCTGGGGTTTTTGGTCACAAACCGAGGGATTGAAGCTGACCCATCACAGATCAAGACTATACAAGAGTTGGAGCTCCCAAACTCCACGAAGGACGTGCAACATCTTGCCGAGATGGCAGCCATGCTGAACAGATTCATCAGCCGGTCTTCAGATCGTTGCAGGCCCTTCTTTAAAACTTTGAAGGCCAAGTTCTTTTGGGATGACGAATGTGACTGTGCACTGGCAGACTTGAAAATATACCTTTCCTCAGCCCCTATCTTAGTCACACCTCGGCCGGGCGAAGAATTGTATCTCTACTTGGTTGTCTCTCAACATGCCGTGAGCGCCGTCCTAGTCCGCGCTGAAGGCATCCAGCACTTGCCAATCTTCTATGTGAGTAAGACTTTGCTCCCGGCTGAGACGAGGTATCTTCCGCTGGAAAAATTAGCGCCGGCCCTGATGATGACATCAAGAAAGCTGGCACACTATTTTCATGCCCATACAATAGTTGTGTTAACCGAGTTCCCGCTTAAGGTGCTTTTTGAAAAGGCAGACTTCACCGGAAGAATTTTGAAATGGGCCGTGGAATTAGGGCAGTACGATATCAAATTCCGCCCGCGCACTGCAATCAAGGGTCAAGCTCTTGCAGACTTTGTGGCGAAATTCGCCCCTGGAACGCATCCAGTTTGCCCGGTTGATTTGGTTGGTGCGGATTTAGCACAGCCCACGGTTCTGGCGATAGAAACGAGTGTTGGCTCAAAAGCGGGAGAAGGCCGAAGAGCGACCGCACTAGAGGAGCCGGGTGACTTCTTGGAAGACGTGCTCAATCAAGGCAAAGAAAGAGACCAGAATGAACCGATCAGAGACTTGGAATTGAGAAGCTTCCAGAACCCCTCTGATTGTTGGAAGCTGTTTATTGGCGAGATGTGGAAGCTCTTCGTCAATGGGGCATCCAACAGGCATGGGGCCGGGCTGGGTATCGTACTGACTTCACCAGATGGGCTGATTATCGAGCAGGCAATTACGCTCGGCTTTCCAGCATCCAACAACGAAGCGGAGTATGAAGCCCTCCTTGCCGAGCTAAGAAGCGCATTGAGAATGAAGGCGTCAGCCTTGATGGTATTCAGCGATTCCAAGCTGGTGGTCAATCAGGTCTCGGGGGAGTATGAGGCAAAGGACGAAAGAATGGCCAAGTATCAAGCGCTGGTACGCGCAGAGATCAAGAAGTTCGTTGCAATAAGGATGGAACAAATCGACCACGAGGAAAACAGCGCGGCTGATGAATTGGCCAGACTTGCTTCTGCTCAGACAGCTTTTCCTAACCCCTTGATGATAGAATTTTTACCTTGGCCAAACGTTGAGGAACCGGAAATGACCAAGGTGCACTGCGCTGACTTGGGTCCTTCTTGGATGGACCCCATCATCGTCTTCCTGAAAGATAGAGTTCTACCAGAAGAGAAGAAGGCAGCCAACAAGATCCGGGCCAAGTCAGAGCGGTTTTGGCTCTCCTCGTTCGGAGCCTTGTATAAGAAGTCTTTTACCGGGCTGTATCTGAAGTGCGTTCACCTTGCTAAGGTGGAAGCCTTCCTTTATGAGATCCATAAAGGCATCTGAGGCAGCCATACTGGGGGTAGGTCACTGGCTTACAGAGCAATTTCCCAAGGTTATTGGTGACCGTGCATGCAGGCAGACGCGCAGAAATACGTTCGCCGATGTGAAAAGTGCCAAAAATTTGCTCACCAAATCCACCAGCCAGCGAGAGAATTGCTCCCCCTTACAAGTCCTTGGTCGTTCGCACTCTGGGGATTGGATATAGTGGGGCCACTCCCAGCAGCCCCAGGCAATCACAAATTCTTCATTGCCGCCACCGATTACTTCACAAAGTGGGTTGAGGCTGAGCCACTGGCGACCATAAAGGAAAAAGATGTGAAGAAGTTTGTTTGGAAAAATGTTATCACTCGCTTCGGTATACCCAAGGCCCTCATCTCAGATAATGGCACTCAATTCGATAGGAAACTCTTTCGCAGATTTTGCAAAGAGCTGAAAATCAAATTCTATAATTCAACGCCGGCCTAGCCACAGTCAAATGGTCATGCAGAGGCCTCAAACAAGACTATCCTGGACGGGCTGAAGAAGCAGCTTGAGAAGGCTAAGGGGAAGCGGGCTGAAGAACTCCCTAGCATACTCTGGGCGTACCGCACTACGCCAAGACGGTCGACCGGAGAGACTCCGTTTGCCTTGGTCTATGGCATGAAAGCCGTTATCCCGCTGGAAATTGGCATGCCAATCATCCAGTCCGAAAGCTTCCAGCCAGATTTGAACAATGAAGCAGTGGCATTGGAGCTAGACCTTGCCGAGGAAAGGAGGGAGCGGGCCCTAATCCACATAGCGGCCTATCAGCAAGAACTCTCCAAGAAATACAACAAGGCTGTGCACCCCAGGCTGTTCAAGATCGGGGACTGGGTCTTAAGAAAAGTGCTGGGCAACACGGTGATCCCTGGCGAAGGAAAGCTCGGTGCAAATTGGGAAGGACCATACAAGGTAACTGGTCTCGCTGGCAAAGAGGCTTACCATCTGGAAGATTTAGATGGCAAAGCTGTCCCCAGACCGTAGAATGCAGCCAACCTTAAGATCTTTTACTTTTAAAATGTAATTGCTTAGCTTTTTAGACCTTTAGCCTTTTGGCATTTGATGTAAAGATAGCACTGCTTTTTGTAATGAAAAATAGCCCTCTTATTGTTTTGTTTCACGTCTTTCTGTGCAATGACACCGCAAGGATACAAGGCCACAGTGGATGCCAGGGGCAGAGAGACCGACCTGAATGGGACCGGACTGATTTTCTCTCGCCGGTATAGAAATGGATCGCACAAACAGTTGGTGTATTGTCCAATGAAATGATTGGCGTATGGTCCAATTCACATAAGGGCCGAGCTGGTTTTTTGCTCGCCCAATTGGGATGTTGGCATCATGTCCAACTTAAATGAAATATTGGTGTTTTGCCCAATGTTAAGGCCGAGCTGATTCTGCTCGGCCAAAACGAAATGTTGGTGTTTTGCCCAACCGATAATAGTCGAGCTGCCTTTGCTCGGCCAAGCGATATGTTGGTGCCTTGTCCAACTTACAAGAAGCTGAGCTGACTTTGCTCGGGAAAAAAAAAATGTTGACGTTCTATCCAACTCCTAGGCCAAGCTAATTTTGCTCGGCCATGTCGGAATATTGGTGTGTTGTCCGATCTAAAGGCCGAGCTGGTTTTGCTCGGCCGAAGTGAAATAATTGTGATTTGTCCAACTTCTTTTAGGGCCGAGCTGATTTTTGCCCGCCCAAAAACAGGACTTGAAGTGTTGTCAAAGCCAGAGCGGCAGTGGTAATTTTTGCTCGATCAAATGAAAATTTTTGGATTCTTTCGAAAAATCAAAGAACCGAGCTGCCAGTTGATTCGTGGGCATTTCAGTTGAAGAAATTCTGATTTTAGCTTGGCATATTACGCGGCATTGCCGACCTACCATTTGTGATGCATTAAAGTTTGAATGAAGATATTTGCACGTGCCAACCGAACAGAAATAGGAGTTATACAAGCAAAAAGTTCAAATTTCATTGATCAAGGAAATTGCATTACAAGTGAGGGGCTTAGCCCGGTTACAAAAAACAAAAGCAAGAAAAATAGAAAGAAACATCTTCAATCCAACTCCAGGTTGACCGTCTGCTTGGCGACTTCCACAGTCTGCTCGGCGACCTCCGCGGTGTGCTCAGGCAATCCTTCCGCCTCATCGCCAGCGCCCTCCACGGCGGAAAACTCCCGATCGGCCACTTGATCTTCCGCATCTTGAGATGCTTCAGGAGAAGTTTGCTCGGTTTGTTGCGCGGCGGCGGCTTCTTCCGCGGCTTCCTTTTTGGCCTCCTCTATGAGCCTCTTCTGTGCGGCGCTCGCATAGGCCTGCATATAGTGCGGTATGAAGGCCACAGACGGATGTAGGAACATGTCAGCACCTTGACCAAGGCCAACTTTCTCCACGGCAGCTTTCCAACCGCACTGGAAATGATGTCCTTGGTCGCCTGCACCTACTGTTCATACGTTTTTTCGCCTTGAGCATAGCCCCTGTCTTCGGCGTCGCTAACCGCCTTATCTTTCTCCTCTTTATGGGCATCGCGCAGCTTCCTCAGCTCGGCGAGATACCGGGCTTTGGTCGACTTCACGGCCCGTTGTTTGTCCGCTTCAGCTCGATCAACCTTTTGGCTCAAGTTATCTCGTTCAGCCTCAAATGCTTCCTGCGCGGCCTTAAGCTTTGCTATCTCGGCCTTTTGGGCCTTGTTTTTAGCAATGGCCTCGCGCAGACTCTGCCGCACGGCGATCATGGGCGAGATAGTTCTTTTGCGCAGCCTGCAAACAAATGAAAGATTGTGAGTATTCAGAAAATCGAGCAAAAAACAATGCAATAACTTGAAGAAAGGAGTGGAGAACTTACCAACACGATCGACTTAGCCGTCTAGCGAAGCACCTTCAGGTCGGACAGCTCGTCGTGCTTCTTCATGTCGGCAGGAAGGACTAGCCCCTTGGTCATGTTGAAACCGAGGGAATAATCCTTGTCTGCATATACTGAGTCGGCCGAAGAGACTGCCCGGCCCTTGTACTTGATCTCGGGCGCCCAGACCGGGGGGGAGGTTGGGCTCTTGGAAGGCCTGGTTGGTTGTTGCTCGGTCTGGTCCCCCAGCTCGGTGGAGGCGTGCTCAGTGGAGTCCTCATCAACGAGGTGCTGCCCTATCTGGTCTTTCCTCGGTCGCTTCTTCGACCAGCCAGCTGGTTGTTCGCTGGCAAGAGCTAGTACAACCCCTTCCTTTTGCCCGGCTGGAATGGAAGATGTTCCCCCGGTGGCTTCCGGTGGTTGGGACTTGCTTTCCTCACCGGTGATCAGGGACTTGATTGCCCGAATCTTCGTCATTTCTTGCTCGGCAGTGAGATGAACAAGTCTGATCGGCGAAAGATTTGGGTCAGGTTTTGGGGAAGGAGCACGGAGGAAGTCGGTAACCCGGCTTTTGCGTAGCGCTTTGTAGTTGTAGGTCGGTTCAAAGCCGAGCAGCTTTAGAGACTCCCTTTCCTCGGCTGGATGACGAAGCAGAACTCTGATGGCCTCTTGATTAGCTCGGGAGTAGTCGTCGGCCAAGAGCTTGTAATTTGTAAAAAGGAGTATTAGATCGGCGAGAAGAAAATCAAAGTAGTGCAGTTTGCCGAGCTACTCACCAGCACTGCCAAAATCTTTCCTAATGTACCAGCCCGGTATGGATGCTTCGGTGTCCTCATACTGGTCGGACACCCACAAGAAGTCATCGTCATTGGTTTCCTTGTCTGGGTTGCCCTCGATGAGTTTTGCTCGGCCCTTCTTTACCTTCAGGTACCAGCAAAACCCACATTTATTCTTGCTGAGGCTATATTGGTGAAATATTTCGGCGAGGCCGAGATTGAAACGAGCCTCCTATTTAGCTCGGCCACTCCGTTTATTATCTTGTATGTGTTGTTCGACACTTGGGTTGGACAAAGCCTTGTCTGTCTCAAAAATTCGCAGATCAAGGGTTGGACTGGGAAGCAAAGTCCTCCTTCGACTATGGACACGACCGTGAAGGGGCACCGGTCTAGGTCTCCCCAAGGAGTATCTCCCTTCTTGGCTAGCTCTAAAACGACGTCGTCTAGAATATTGTGCTCCCTACGAAACTTGGCCATCGCAACCGGGCGAGCTCACCATGAATCGGTACTTCCCCATCTATCTCGGTTTTATTTGGTGATTTAGTTTGTAACTCGGTCAAAAATTTTGGTTTGTTTGCTCGGACGATGAGCTTCACCAATGGCTGGAGAGGCCTGGTCAGTCCTAGTTTGTTCTGCATTGTTGAAGAATAATTCCAAGGGTTAGCACGGCATAAATTGCACGGCTTATACATGGAGCTCTTAGCCCGGTAAAAGGATTTTTGGCGTTTGGGCGAGGAGACCCCTATCTCGGCTCGACTACTTGGCCGATTTGGCCTTCCTAGTTCGGTTCTGATCCTCTATTTTCAGCTCGGTCAAGGCCCAAAAAAAGAACACGAACTAGTTTTAGCTCGGTTAAGTCCGATTTGCGGATCTAAATTAATATTTAGCCCGGTTCTATCCAGTGTTCATCCAGTTCATCCTAAGTTCAGGTCCATTCATTCGAGCTCAGGAGAAATAGGGGCACGGAGGCCCCATCCAGTCCTACGGTTTCCATTTCACCCTAGTGTATACTAGGCCTAAACAAAGAGGGGGAGCTCTAATGCTCCCAAGCGAAGAACACGAAGAACAGTGGTAAAAAAAATTAAATAAATAATAAAAATGAAGAACTCGAAGAACTCGAGTATGAAAGTACGAAAGAAGGATGGAGAAACTTACCAATGCTAGATGCCCAGCAAGATTCAACCTCGCAGACTTGATTGCAGCTTCGAGAATGGCAAAAATAGACGTGGGGAGCAATGACAGTAGGGGAGGAAGTGTGGGACGTTTGAAGGCTAGGGTTTGGGCTTGAAGAGGGAAATGAAAAGTGAGGGGGGCAAAAGTGACCCCTCAAACGTATATTAAAAGTGGTGGGAAAACCAAACGGCTGCGCCGTTTGAAT